AGAGAGAGAGAGAGAGAGAGAGAGAGAGAGAGAGAGAGAGAGAGAGAAAGGGGCATGGTTCCATTGGAGGTTTACATGGGCTCAAATCCTCCCTGCACTGCTTTTTCAACCCTGTGACTTTAGCCAGTTTCATAATCTCTGTGTACCCAGTTTCTCTGTGGTGGATTATAATAGTGTCTACTTTAGACAATTGTGGTAAGGCTCAAATAAATGATATGTGTAGTCATAAATGCTAACTATGCAAGCCCAAATATTTTAGATTTTCTTCAGGGAACAAGAAGACCTGAGGGGAGTGTGTGATGTTTCTAAAGAGGTACCAATAGTGACAGCAAGCCTGGTGGTTTAGACAATTATGCTGAAACCTCAGATCGTCAAAACATGGGCAACCAGACTTCTTCTCCTGGTTCAACTGCATGAGGACGCCTGGGCCAATGAGGGAATAACAGCAATAACGCCTTTCATTTTGTAAATTTAGAAATCCACCATTCCCTCCCAGATGTAGTTGTGTTTAGTCTAATCCAGTAGGTTTTAAGGTGTGAGTCTAAGATCTGTTTCTGTTCTTGTAGACACCTGTAGTCAGTATCATCTCGGTTGAAACCCCCAGCACAGCCCCATCAAGTAAGAAAAAAGACAAGAAAGAACAACTTTCCAAAGCTCAGAAACGCAAGCTGGCAGATAAAACAGGTTTGCATTGTTGCTCTTTGTCTTTCTTGACACAGGAAGTGGATTGGTCTTACTGTGACATGGGTGCTTGATATGTTTAGGTGTACAAGATGAATTCTTGTTTTGTGTTCGTGATAGGGTTTCTCTGTATAACAGCCCTGGCTATCCTGTGAGTCACTCTGTAGACCAGGCTAGCCTCAAACTCAGAAATTCACCTGCCTCTGCCTTCTGAGTGCTGGGATCAAAGACATATGCCACTGCCAGGCTAATTTGTTAGTCTATTCTTGGAGCATTTGAATCATTGATCACAGTATAAAAATTACTGTATTTATTGCTACTTCGAGAGAATGACTCACAAAGCAATTATACATATTCTCTCTGAGGGACATTAGAAAAATAGACAAAGCACATGTCCTACCTGAACGCAGTAACATGTGAATTTCATCTGTCTGTGTACTTCTAAAAGCTGTGTGAAATAGTTTCCAATTGCAGTCCAGCACATCATTCTGTCTTAGCATGGTTGTTTAATATTTTTTCCCTGTAATTAACTTAATTATACAATACATCTTTAGAAAAGAATTCCCATGTATATGAAAACAGATGCAGAGAACAGATTATGAACTCCAGCTCGAATCAACAGCTATGTTTGGTCCCTCTTCTTTTGCTTAGATTTGCAAATGGGCATCCATCTGAATTTTCCCAGTTAGGGAAAAGAAGAGCATTGTTGCATGTCCATACACATTTACATAAAGTGTGTGTGTGTGTGTGCACACCCGCGCTCGCACAGTACTCTTGGAGGCCCACAAAGAGTGTTGGAGCCCCTAACCCAGGAACTGCAGCCAGCTTCCTGATGTGGATGCTGGAAACGTCTCTTATCCTGGAAGGGCAACAAATGCTTTTAACTGCCAAGTCACCTCTGCAGTCTCTGCCCTTTCTCTTATGAAGGGATCATAGGTTTATTTTTGTTTAATGTCTGTTGATAGTAGAAGAAATCAATATTGCAGTGGTCCTCAAACAATTTTGAAATTGTAACAGTTTGTGCTGTAAAAGACTCCGCGCTGTTCACCTGCATGTCAGGAAGTGGTAAAGTGTGTATAACCGAAGGATAAAAAGAAATTACCTGTCATATTCTGTTCTCTAGAATTTTTGTTATTGTCTTTTAGAATGTTTTATTTAGCACCTATGGTAGTCACCTTTCATGCCTCATGGCCTATGGTCATTTTTATTAAATAATGTCTCCCTGCACTCCAACGCTTGTCTCTTTGATGATGCCCTACTAAGGTCTAATCTCCCTAACATGATAATGTAGGAGTCTGTGACTGAGAACTTCCATGCTAAATAAAATAGGCTAGCCTGTGCAACCTAACTGATGATCCAACCATGTGACCCATGACATAAAATGCTTACTGGTCTGAAGGAGAAAAGAACCATTTCCATCAGAAACCGGCTCCTATAAGAATTGCCTTTACCTGAAAATCATTAGTTTCTGGCTCCTATAAGAATTGCCTTTATCTGAAAATCATTAGTTTCTATTATTTACTGGAACGTTACTACAGGTGAATATGTCTTATCCACGTGCTTGGGACCACAGAGTTCAGAGCCTTCCAGATTGGAATATTTTCGTAGTTCCTGATTGAGCAGTCATAATTCGAGGTCTAAAATGCTCCAAAGTCTAAAACTATTCAAAAACTTTAAGATTTTAGAGGTTTTTTTTTTTTCAATTTGTATAGTACTTGTTTCAAATGTAAATTTTTTAAAGGCTTCATAAAATGAGACAGGCAGCCTACATGAAGAATAAGAGAAGTAAAGACATCTGAAATAGAATTGTCTTTATTTATTTTGTGCACATACCTGTCTCTGTGGGCACATATGTACTGTGGCATTTGTGTGGGGTCAGAGAACAACTTTTGTGAGTCAGTTGTCTCCCACCATGAGGGGCCCAGGGATTGAACTCAGATGGTCTGGGTAGTATGTCCCTTCACCTGCTGAGCCATCTTGCTGGGCCTAATATTGAAGAATTTTTAAGTAAAATGTCAATTTGTTAAATTGTTCTCTAAGTTTGAATATTAAAAGATGAAAACATTTTATAAAGCATGCATTTTTTTCCGTTTTTATTTTTCTCTCATACAGTATATCTGATCAGTTTCTTCTTCCTCCCCACTCCCCAGCCTCTACCCTGAGCCTTACTTCCAGACTCAATACCCCTCCAACTCCCCCCAGAAAAGAGCAGGCCTTCCAGAGATATCTGCTAAATACTCTATAACAAGCTACAATAAGACCAGGCACATAGCATCACGTCAAGGCCTGACGAGGCAACCCAGTAGTGAAATGGGTCCCACAGGCCCCGCTCTCACACAGGAATCCCACAAGAACACCAGGCTACACAACTATACTATATATGAGGAGAATCTAGGTTAAGCCATGTGTTTTTATGAGTCCTTGTGAGCTTTGTCCCAAACATTTTTTCAGCCTTCCTGATGTTGAGATCCTTGAATATAATTCCTCATGTTGTGGTGACCCCCAACTATAAAATTATTTCATTACTATTCCATAACTGTAATTTTGCTGCTGTTATGAATGGTCATGTAAAGATCTGATATTTGACCTCTGTGGGGGGTCGGGACCCCCAGGTTGAGAAACACTGCAGTGGACTGCCGCTCCTTTTGAAGAATGTCAGATAATGTCTTGTCAGAGCATGGCCCAGCTCTACAGAAGTGAACTTGCAATCCTCTTAGTTCTGAAGCCAAACTTTTGTCAACACAGTCTCTCCTATTCAGAGCCAAGGGCCCTGGTGAGACCCCTGAAACAGTGAGCCAGAACAGTTCCACACTCTGATGAGCACTGGGCTCGTGGGAAGCAGGAGCGTGCATATGTGTGGGGGCACTATGTCCTCAGTCCCACCCCTTGCTCTCCCTTGGTAACGGGTTTCGTCTTGACTGGATGTGGGGAAAATGTAAAAGGGGGTGTATCTTAAATACTTTGCGGGTGCCTCCAGGATGATACACAAAGATAACGAGAAACTGTTTTCTAAGTGAGGCGGGTGGGGTGCCAACTCGCCTTCTACTTGTTCACTGCAATAGTATAAAAAGTATTCTTTGCTAGGCTATCAGTTCGTTTATAGTTAGCCAACCAGCTGCAGTAATGTTACTGATTTTGTCCTCCAGATCACAAAGGGGAGCTCCCTCGAGGCTGGAACTGGGTCGACGTTGTGAAGGTATGGCAGATTTACACTCAAGACTTCAAAGTTGTTAAAGTTCTTGCCATCAAATAACGAAATGTGTATTTTTCATTTTCCTTCCTTCTGCCTTCGGGATGTCCCGGATGTCTGCTTACATTTTTGGATTCAGCATGTAAGTATTCTTGAAGGCTTTACGTTCTCTGTCTCCTCACTGTGAGGTGTTCTTTCTCAGAAGTGAGGGCCCTGGACCTGGAAGCTTGGCTCTCATCCCTTTGCTGTGCTGTCAGCCCAGGGTCAGCTTCTGTAGAATGGATTCGTGTGAACCCAGCCACCTTCAGTTGCACTAGACTGTAAAGAGGTCTGAGTAGTTGGAAAGCAGCCCCATTCTAAGTCTTGCTTAGAAAGAGTAGCTATTACTGAGACTAGAGAGATGGCTCTGTCAGTAAAGGGCCCACTGTACAAGTATGAGGCCCCAAGTTTAGGCCTCCACACACATAGAAAGCTGGGTTCAGTGGTGTGCATTTGGGGTGAGAAACTGGCCAACCTCAGAACTCGTTGCGTAGCAAGCCGAGCTAAATGAATGAGCTCTAAGTTTTGTAGAAGGCCATGTCTCAAAAAATAATGTGGAAAACAATCAAGAAAGACACTTGACATCTGGCATCAAGTGCACACACTCACACAAACATATACATATAACACACACACACACACACACTGGTTAGGTTGTTGTATTCTAGGTTTATTGTTAGTTTTTTGTTTTGTTTTGTTTTGTTTTGTTCTTGTTTTTTCGAGACAGGGTTTCTCTGTGTAGCCCTTGCTGTCCTGGAACTCACTCTGGAGACCAGGCTAGCCTCGAACTCTCGAACTCAGAGATCCGCCTGCCTCTGCCTTCCAAGTGCTGGGATTAAAGGCGTGCATCACCACCGCCCGGCTTATTGTTAGTTTTATATGAATAAATGTTAGTCTTAATTCTAAATGCAACAACTATCACCCATATTAAAAACAGGAAGTCTTTAATACCTTCAACTATGTAGCAATATCCCTGTGTTTGGGAATTTTTACCCTTCATTTTTCTTGCTTTCTATATGTCTTAGTTAGGGTTTTACTGCTGTGAACAGACACCATGATCAAGGCAACTCTTATAAGGACAACATTTAATTGGGGCTAGCTTACAGGTTCAGCCCATTATCCTCAAAGCAGGAACATGGCAGCATCCAGGCAGGCATGGTGCAGGAGGAGCTGAGAGTTCTGCATCTTCATCTGTCTGCTGCTAGCAGAATGCTGGCTTCCAGGCAGCTAGGATGAGGGTCCTAAGCCCATGCCCACACTCACACACCTACCCCAACAAGGCCACACCTCCTAATAGTGCCACTCCCTGGGTCAAGGATATATCAACCATCACACTATAGTTTGCCACATTCTTCTTCAAAATCATTTTATTACATTGTTTATTTTGTGCATTTACACTCATGCTGCAGTGTGGCAGTCAAAGGACAACCTGGAAGAACTGGTTCTCTCCTTCCACCTTGTAGCTCCTAGAGACTGAAAGGTGGTCAGTCTTAGCAGCAAGTGTCTTTACCGGCAAAACTATTTTCTAGCCAGTTACAAGTCTGCATATGTGCCTGCTTGTCTGTATGTACACCATGTCTGTGTAGGTTGTGAAGGCCACAAGAAGGTGTCCAATGCCCTGGAGCTGGAGTCAGAGTTGGTTGTGAGCTGCCCAATGTGGGTTCCAGGAACTGAACATGGGTCCTTCACAAGAGCAGCAAGTGCTCTTAGCCACTGAGCCATCTCTGTAGTGCTAGCTCACATGTTCTTAGTTATCGGGAACAGAATGGGATCGATTAATAACCTCTGGGTGGTTATCCTATTCAGAATCATGTTTGTGTGGTTTGAGAATTAATCAGTTTCATTTCCAAATTTGCTAACTGTTTCCAAAAAAAAAATTTTTTTTTTAGGTTTTTTTCGAGACAGGGTTTCTCTGTGTAGTCCTGGCTGTCCTGGAACTCACTCTGTAGACCAGGCTGGCCTTGAACTCAGAAATCCACCTGCCTCTGCCTCCCAAGTGCTGGGATTATAGGCGTGCGCCGCCACCACCCAGCTAAAAATTTTTACTGGAAAAAAAAGAGCAAATTTAAAATTTGTTAAATTATTGTTTCACATTTAAAGTTTAAGAATTTTTTTGTCTGTAAAGTGACTCATTTTACTATAGCAATTATTATTATTTTTTTATCTCTTAAAAATAATTGATTCACACAAATATACATGACTATGCATAGCACATACTCATACACACTACATGTACATTTTTTTAAAAAATCTAAATGTAGAAAAGAAAGATTTTATCTTTTGGTCTGGTGGTATAGGTCTCCATCACCACGTAAAGGCACTTGCTGTCATGGCTGATGACCAGAGTCAATCCCTTGCTCCCATGTGATTTAAAAAAAAAAGAACTAACCATACAAGTTATCCTTGAACCTCCATAGACACACACTGGGCACACTCATGCACCCTCACATGTGCATGTGTACACACCCACACAGATACACACAATGATGTGTAAATGTCTAAAACAATAGTTTGTCTATTGATGTCATGCTTTGTTGTATTGACACATGCTTAAAACGGTGTCTGAGGAGTTAAAACCGGGGACAACAGAGTGAGATTGCCTCGGGTGGGAAGCCGTACCTGTTTGCCAGCTACATACTTTAGGACAACTGAACCCTCAGGTCTCACACTTCTAATAACTATGTGTTGATCAAATCACCTAGGACAGCACTAGTTGCAGAAAAAGCACCAGATGTGTTATCATTACAGCACAATTCATAGAATATGATCAGCAACAACTCACAACTCAAGCCTGGGTGAACAAATACTACCGAAGACAGAAAACAGAATAGAAGGATGTCCTTTATTTAACAACCTACGCCGTCTATAGGAATTGTCTTGGGTCTGATTTATTCTTAGAAGGCTGCACCAAATCTTCCCCTATGTAACCTTGTTCCACTGAACTGACCTTTGGGGTTGGTTTTATACCTGTTGGAAATAATTTCACCTCTGGTTAGAAATGGTTACATATAGAAACAGTTACAATTTAAGCTCCCTCGACTTGAACTATATTTCCTGTTATTTATTTAGTTTTGATTCTCATTAGAAACAGTGACTCAGATACTGCAGATCGTCTCCACTTAATACTTGTATCTTTTTTTTTTATCAGTTAAGCAAAACTGGCTCTAAAGATGATGAGTAACAAGCATCTACAACCAAAGCAAGAGCAGCCTCTGCAAAGCGGCCCGGTTCAGCATCTCTCCTGACTTTTTTTTTTTCTGGTATTGAGTATCTTTTTTACAGGACATTGTTCTTTTGTGTGTGTCTTAAAATATAAGTGGAAAGTCCATGAAGAGGTTTGGTTGTAGTAAATTATCTTCACAAACTTGCCTTAATAAAAGGTCAAAGTATAACTTGTTCAGAGTAATTTCTGAAGCTGTTGAGAATCATTGCCAGTGGATGGCTCCACAGAGTGATGTCAGTGGTAACTTAACCATCCGACACAAGCGATATGATCATTTTTAAAGGCCAATAAAGCCACGTTTGAACTCTCAGTTCAGCAGATCCCAGGTCCGAGTCTGGCATTCAGCTGAGGCATGACCCATACTAATAAGTGTCTTGCCTTGAGCCGTCACCTCCTTTTGCTTAGATAAGAAAGCATAAGTTGCTCCAGAGAAATCTGAGAACTGGTGTTAGGCTTTATGTGATTTTCTTTGTAGTTCCTCTTTATTTTCAATAGTGAATTGCTTCTCCTAAATAAATTGATAATTATTTATACTTTTCTCTTAGAGTGGATGTAGGCGTGTGACCCTGAAAGGTTTCAATTATATGAATAATAAAAGAGTATAAGAAGAAAATTGAGGGGCTGGGGAATGGCTCAGTCAGTAAAGGGCTTGCTGCGCAAACCTGAGGACCTGAGTTCAGATCCCCAACACCCACACAGAAAGCCAGGCATGCACCTGAAACCCAGAGCCGGGGAGGCAGAGACAGGAGGATCTCCAGTGCTTGCAGGGCTAACAGTCTGGCTGAATCATTGAGCTCCTGGTTCAGGAAGAGAGCAATAAAGGAAGATGTAAAAGATACATCTCTGGCCTCAACAGGCAAGCACATGTGCATACTCCCATCTGCACACACGTACAAATACCAGATACACTTGCATGTATGACCGTACACCGAACAAATCAAAAACAACAAAGTTGCCAAATACTTTAGAAAGCATTTGAATAAGTGCTAGCTCTTACTTAAGATATTTCTCTTTGCTGCATAGGTCAGGATGAGAGTATAAGATGCCTTAATATTTAATTTTTGTACTGTTGGAGACAGTGGTTTTAATAAATTCCTAATATTTGCTATTGTGATGTTTTGTTGTTGTTTGGTAATAGGTCTTTCAGTGGAGTCAGCATTAAACACACTTCAGATCTGGGAGGGTGCTTGGTTTTGGGGGGGGGGTGTTCTTTGGTAGGTTTTTTTTGTTTGTTTTTTATAGTGTCTTTTCAAGTATCCAAATGTGTTTCCTAATCTCTGTGTCTCTTTGGTAATATATATCCAATCTTTGACATGCTGAACTATTGTTATAAATGCTTGGTTTTTAAAAATCATTAGGAAAGGAAACTTGCTGTAGTTTTACTAGGAGAGTGATTGGCGTGTGTGTGTGTGTGTGTGTGTGTGTGTGTTTTACAGTGATTGTGTGTGCTTCCTCCTTGTTAGAACACCAAGCTATACTGTGTAGTTTATATCAGGTTTTAAAGAACAATCAACTTTTAGAGAAGTTACCTTAGCATAAAAGCAGATAGATATATCTATGGATTTCACAAAGTTACCCCTTGGCTCTTGTTAAACTGTATTGCTGTAAAGTAAGTGTAGTCACAGTGACAGAGTTTCTCATGCCTGTGCCCGTCTTGTTTTCTAGATGAATATTGGAGATGCCTAAACTATAACAGCTTTTCTTTTCAAGCTTCTGTTTGTGCAGTTTTTATTGTCATCTTGATTTGATTGATTTTTTTTAAAGAAACATCTTGTAATAGAAAAAAAAGTATTTTGTTCTGTTCTAATGGTCATTTCTCTGGTCAAAGTTGTTGTGGTTCTTAGATTGCAAAGAATAATGCTAGTTAAATGCCAATGAACTATTTTTACTCTTTTTCTATGAAATGTATAGCTCTCTGGGGCAGACGGTGGCAATGGTATCCCTTGTTACCTTATAAACACTTGAACATTTGCATCAAAAATAATGCTGATCTGATAATGCTCCGAGTATATTTTCTCAAAGTCTGTTTACTTAAAATTGTATGAGATGACATGATTAATAAGCAATAAAGTGAATTATAGTGATTTTTTTCTATATATTTTATTTCAAATCACTTCAGAAAGAATAACTTTTTAAATCTGCAGTAAAATTATCTTATGGTGTGAGGTGTATGCTCTTGCTGGGAACCATCCCAAGTGTCATATTCAAAGAAGAAATATTCAAAAAAAAAAAAAAAACTCAAGAGAAAGTAAGGAATGCTCAAAATAAGTAGGTGGGAATTTCAATGTGAACGTTAAAAGACCTTGAACTTCCGGTCAGCCTAGTACTGGAAGTTCCACACAGACCTGTCGGCACGCTCAGTGTTTCAGACCCATTCTCCAGCAAGGGCCCTGAGTAAGACAGCCCACCTTGAATTTTGGCTCTAGCTTCACGCAAATATGTATACGGTCAGTACACGCTGTATCCAAGAGTTACTACACACTTGGATTTTGTAACTGGTCTTTTACTATTTTGTGGGTTCTTCTTTCTTCCACCCTCCTCCACCCTTTCTATCCCCTAAGACTAGATAGGGGAGAGAGAAAGGAGAGGAGGCTACATAATGGTTAGACTACTTCCTGATGATTAGGGGCTTCGAGTTCCTTGGGGCAAGCTTGATCTCCACTGTCAGGATATCCATCTTCTTCTTTGCACACCACTACTTAACAAACTGACCAACAGCAACCAACAACCCACTTATCAGGGCTGTAGCATTTATTTAACCTTCTGAAAAGTTCCCAGAATCCCAAACATCACACAATCACAGACACTGCCTGCAGCTGGCAAAACCACGCCCCTGCCAGAGCGTGAGGCAAATCAGTCAGCTGCTTCCAGACAATCTGAAGCAGCCTCGTATCCCACGCCTAGTATTAAAACCAAAACATAATATTTCTGTGGTTTTTAAAGAAACCAAGAAGCCGGGCGGTGGTGGCACACGCCTTTAATCCCAGCACTTGGGAGGCAGAGGCAGGCGGATTTCTGAGTTCAAGAGTTTGAGGCTAGCCTGGTCGTCTACAGAGCGCGTTCCAGGACAGCCAGGGCTACACAGAGAAACCCTGTCTCGAAAAAACAAAAACAAAAAAATAATAAAGAAACCAAGACTTAAAAATTCTCCCTACAGGATTTCAGCCCAAATCCTGTTCACTAATAATTGTTACCCCTTGAGTATGAAATGCCGTCCCCCAGGCACATGTGTTGGGACTCGTGTTCCCCACCTGGTGGCGCTGTTCAGAAAGACTGTGGAACTTTTGGAAAGAGGAACCAGCCTAGCTCACCGCAGTAGGGAGGCTGGAACTGTGGGTTCCCTATGGCAGGCAGGGTCGCCGACCCCACTCCAAGCCCTCTGCTTCATTTCCACTGATGCTGTCACCCCTGTGCCTTCCCACCATGAGACCATCCCCTGAATCATGAACCAGAATGCCTTCTTAAGTTTTGTCGGGTGTTTGTCATTGTGATGTCAAGGTAACTAAAGCAGTATGAAAACTACAAAACAAACTTTCACAAAAACCTCAGGCTACGGTTTTAGTTTAAGATGGCACTGGGGCTGGCTAAAGGGCCCAGCAGGTAAAGGTGCTTGCAGGCAAGCCTCGCAGCCTTTATTCAACCTCTGTGACTCGGAAAGAGTGAAGTGATCCCTCTGATGGGCACATGCTCTAGGATACCCTACTCTACCACACACAAATTAATAAAATACTATTTAAAAAGAAAAATATTGCCGGGCGGTGGTGGTGCACGCCTTTAATCCCAGCACTTGGGAGGCAGAGGCAGGCGGATTTCTGAGTTCGAGGCCAGCCTGGTCTACAAAGTGAGTTCCAGGACAGCCAGGGCCACACAGAGAAACCTTGTCTCGAAAAAACAACAACAAAAAAAAATCAGCAAGCAGGAATGGCCCATACAGACCTGGTCAGTGAAAAACACAGTCACTGAAATTAATGTGCAGGGGATGATAAGCCAGATCAATACCCTGTTGAGTGAAACTAATGCTAAACCTCCAGCTTAGATTATTTTCCTTTTAGATTTCAGCATTAAAACTTCATTCATCCCATATCATCTTTCCACTGACCACAACAGGTTAAATTAACTAACCTAGCCCCAGCTTCTGCTGGGGACTAGAGATATACCCAGACCTATGCTTTATTTCTTAAGGTAAGTATGCAAGATTTGGGCAGTCTTTCCAGAGGATGCTGTGGTAGTCAGAAAAACAATAAACTTAAACTGTGTGTGGTGGCTCATGTCTTGTGTGTTTGAGGGGCAAAGTTGGGAGGATTGTGGAGAGTTTGGGGCCAGCGTGGGCTAAAGAGAACCTGTTTAAGACTAGTAAGTTTTCCCAAAGCTCCCAGGGACTAAACCACCAACCAAAGAGTACACATGGAGGGACCCATGGCTCCAGCTGCATATGTAGCAGAGGATGGCCTGGTCAAGCATCACTGGGAAGGGAGCCCCTTGGTCCTGTGGAGGCTCAATGACCCAGGATAGGGTAACTCTAGGCTGCTGAGTAGGTGTGTGGGTGGGGAGCACCCTTATAGAGGCAGGGGGAGGAGGGAGGGGATGGGGGCTTGTGGAGGAGAAACTGGGAAGGGGGAATAACATTTGAAATGTCAATGAATAAAATAACCAATAAAAAAAATAGGATGTTTAAAACTCCTGCTATTGACAGACTCCTTTCTTTTTAACATAGATTTTTCCACAAAGTTAAAGCAGCAGGAATGACAGTCTGGCAAGGCTGTGTTTCAGAATCCAGTGTTCTGCCACAAACTCTAGAGTGTTTTTCAAACTGCAATTTATGGTCTATTCATGAGGAAAGAATGGGCTGTCTTTACAAGCATTTTTTTTTTTTAAGTGAAACAGTAGACTAGAACCAAGCAAAAAATATCAGCATACCCTCTCCCTTTGTGGGAGTGCTTTCTCCTTTGTGAGAGCTTGCTTGGGTTTCTGTGCTGGTAGGGGTAGGGGTGGGTGGGGTACCAAGTCATTGTGTCAAACTTATTAGGAATGGGAGTGAAAATGAGAATCTAGAAGCCACTGACTGTGAAGATGTAAAAATAAAACATAATTTGCCTATGGAGCATCGAGGACTTTCATTGCTCCCAACGATCAAGTAAGGAAAGCCACAAACAGTGGCTTGTGGGATTTATGAATGGCTTTGTACACGTAATTATGAAATGCTCTGCTTAAGTGAGGATCGTTACTGATGGGAAGAGTCCAGGGGACATCTCGGGCAAAGGCACATTCTTTTCATTGTTCTCATCTCTAACAGATGAGGACCAAAAGTCAAAAAAATATATTTGTTTCCCCACCGTTTCCACTTGCTGAGTTTCCTGCATGAATCGAGTTTCTAGGGTAAATTGTTCTAATGGGACGACAGCCCAGTCAGGAAATGACCACACCCTGCTGGTTTTTCCAATTGTGATTCCAGGTCTCAGAGATGTCGGAAGTGATCCAGAGTACTATTGGAGTTTAGACTGCTGAGGCTCTGACCTTGACTTCTAAGCAGGATTCTCTAGGCCGTCCTCTCGCCTTTTGTTAATAAAAGAAATGTTATCTTAGAGAAGTAGGAAAATGTCTATGAGAAAAAGAGATACAAATTAAAAAGTTAATTGTTTTTTTCCTGGAAATCGAGCCTAGGGCTTTATGCATACTGGAGAGTTGCCCTACCACTGAGCTGCGTCCACGGCACATAGATTTAAAACATCCTGCCTGAAGCTGTGTGAAATTCAATGTGATCTTGCTCAAGCCTCAGCACCCAAGAGGAGGAAGAGGAAGACGAGGAGGAGGAGGAAGAGGAGAAGGAAGAAGAGGAAGGGAAGACAGGACAATGAATAAAAGCAGGTTCTGCTTTTACAGAGGACCAGAGTTGTGTTCCCAGCACCAGAACAGAGCAGCCTATAACTCTAGTACCATGGGCTCTGTCACCATCTTCTGGACCCCATGGGTGCCTGCACACATGTGGTACACTCAGACACACAAACACAATGAACAAATAAATCTTCTTTAAAAAATATTTATTTTACATATGTGAGTACACTATCAGTCTCTTCAGACCCACCAGAAGAGGGCATCCGATCCCATTACAGATGGTTGTGAGCCACCATGTGGTTGCTGTGAATTGACCACAGGAACTCTGGAAGAGCTGTCAGTGCTTTTAACTGCTGAGCCATCTCTCCAGCCCACAAATAAATCTTTTTAAATATTATGATGGATTGTAAAGTACAGAAACATATGGAGAAAGGGCTTCAGGGCAGAGGCACGGCTCAGCCGTTAAGAATGCTTACTGCTCTTGCAGAGGACTGAGGTTCAGTTCCCAACACTCCATCACACAGTTGACAACCACCCAGAACTCTGAGGAATTTGCTCACGCTATAAGGGCGTGTGATTTTTTTTTTCTTTTTCAGAAGACCAAAGGTATTCTCGTTGCCTGTGGCAGCATACGCTCTATTGAGCTTGGACCCCTGTTGCCTGGGGCGATTCATCTTGAGACTCCTTCAGTGGATGTACACAGTTTCCTCCCCCCACTCACCATCATTTCCCTTAATTGTCTTGTATCTTCAGAATCCTTTTCTGGACATCTACAGTTCATCAGTTTTCCATTTCACTCGGCAAATGCCTTCCAGAGGCAGCTCAAAAATTAACTTTTAAATTGACGAATGTGAGTTGTTTTCCTTAAAATCCCCAGGATAACAGAGAAGTTATAGAATCTAGAATATAGGGATGTCTGTCCATCTGCTAAAAGAAAAGCCAATGCCTGCCACATGCTGACCAGTGGCATCTGCTTAGTCGTCCCTAAGTGTCAAGATTTTTCTTTCCTGTTTTAAGTTTGAAAATATCACTTTATTAAAAGTCACACATGGTCTGGTATGTCTTTAATCTCAGCGCTCAGGAGGCAGAGGCTGGTAGATCTATGTGAGTTCAAGGCCAGCCTATTATAGAGAAAGAATTCTAGGCCAGCCAGGACTAGCTACATAGTGAAACTCTGTCTCAAAGGCACCTATCAAGTTACTTTGAAACCTTTCTGCTGTGTCCCTTCTTATCTAGATTCCCATTCCGGGCA